CCTTCTTTCTTTCTTTTTCTTTTTGGGTTGAGAAAACATGAAATTCAAAGACTGCATCACTACCATTTATCTAAGGAAAATTTTAAAACTGACGTCTTTTCATATCCACACCATGGCCACACCAGAATAATCTTGTAGTGAACATGGGAGAGAGGTGCATTTAGGACCTGTGCCTCATACAGACCAGAGTTGGGGATTTCTACCAAAATACAGTTGGATAGGATGTTATCTGGATAAAAATGAAGTCAATTAGGAAGTCTTATTTGAGGTCAAAATTCCTTTATATGCTCATAAGCACTTTGTATATGTGCCTCCACACCAGAGAGGGAAGGAAAACCTGCTTTTAAGACACACCATTATTGACTAGACCTCCCCCAGGCATCACTAGACATACCCATATTCCTGTGGTTTCACTGAACTGGACTAATTTTATGGTTTTTTAGTGTTGAACCCCACATCTAGTCTCTCATGGAAAATAAAATTATTATAAAATGTAGACTCTATGCCGGAGTGTTAAAATGTTATCTCCTTCTCTGTCACTCTGATGGAAATAAATTTTTTATTGGCTAATGGCCAGCTAAATTGGAGAGGAATCGGGCAGCAAAGAGGGAGAGAGGAAGAGTCTGGGAGAGATTTAGAAATGTTGATCTCTGGGCAAATGAAAAGGGGATTAGAGTAAATCATTGGAGAAGTGACAGATGAGAGTCACAAGAGAAAATGATTTGCAACACCTCCATAGATTTGGGTTTAAATCTAACTTTGCCTCTTACTGGTTGTGTGATTTGGGGCAAGTTACACTAATGCTCTTAAGACTCAGTTCCCTCATCTATGAAATAGGGATTATAATTGAGCTACCTCAAAAAGGTCTCGTAAGAATTAAATAAAATCTTTTCTTTTAGTGTCTGGCATAGCACATAGGAGACTAGTAAATACTAATGACCTCCTTCCCTCATGCTGCTTTCATCTACCCCAGCATATAGCATGCAGAGGAGGAAGAGAGTAAGACATGTAGAAAGAGGACAAGATACAAGTGTTTGGTAATTTTGCATTTTTCTATTGTAAAAGAAAAGCTATTGAAATTTTGGCATCTCTTTTTTTTTTCTTCAGTCCCATGACCTCCTTGGAGTTCCAAGCAGAGAAGGTAAAACTGTCCCTCTCGAATCACTGTGGGAAAACCCTGTGTCCAGATGCCTCTGCCCCAGGCTGCACAGCACTCTCCCTGGGATGTGCACTCCCAGAGCTGCTCCTTTGCTCTCAACTCCTAGAGTTAAGGAGGGCAATCTCAGAGGCTTGGAACTCGTGTGCAAATCTATCGCTCTTTACAACTACCCCTGAGCATCTGGAAAGACAAGAGCATCCAAACTTTATGACTCAGAGGCTTAAGTGACACCTCCAAAAGTCCTAAAGGAATGTTTTGTCTCCATCAATGAACAGGTTTTGTAGAGTTCTGAAAAAGGACCTTTTTCAAAGTCCAGAATTATACAAATTAAAAACAACTACCACAAGAAACAAAAAGGTTCTGTGACTTGACCAAGGTCGTATAATAAATTAGGGTCACATCACTGACTTTTTGAGTCAACATCACGTCTATGCTCTTCTGAAATGGCCCAACTGGTCCAGCCCAGGATGAGAGACACAATGTTCCTCTTTGAACAATTTGTACTTGGAAACTGAGACTGTCTTTAGAAATTCTTACTTTTCTCCTGGGGCCAAACACTGCATCACTGATTCGAAAATGCTTACGTTTTAGAAACAACTGCAAAATAGAATCATTCATTACACCCCTCAGCAGCACAGACCAGCCCTGCCTTACCACACTCACAATTGATATTTCATTTGTGGGAAGGCATTCTTTCTCCTATTGCTAGTCAATGTTATTTGTAGCCTAATCATTTATTCACAAAATAATCCCACTTATTTGTGTTTCAGATATATATCTTTTCTAGGAGACTCAATACATTTAAATATGCCCAATAAGGCAGTGCAATTTGCAACTTAATAGAAAAAGGTATATTAACAATACAATATGGTTTTTGTATGAGGAACAAAAAAAATTCACCCCAAAGTGTTGGCCCTGAGACACATGAGGGAAAGCAGCAAGGCACAGAGGCTCACGTGGTCTACAAGGGTAATTTTCCAGCAACAGCTGAGGAGAGCACAGGTCATAACCCATGACCAGCATTGGTGAAAGACAAGTAATAATGGACTATAATAACATGTTCTGTTTCCCCAACCACTTCTGTTAGTCAGACAGGTTATTCTATCTTCTCTCTGTCTCTGTCTCTCTCTCATTCAAATACAAAATAGAAAGAACACAGACCAAGCGGGGGGGGACATAACTTGAAATATGGGGCAAAAGGAAAAATTAGCCAAACACTAATGCAGGTTCACATAGCTGAATCAAATTGCTCCATACTTTAAAGTTACAGTTAGCATCACATAGCTTTTGTTTTCCCTAAATAAATCTGTCTTGAGCCCCCCCAGTGCCAAATTATAGAATGTTAATATCCTCCTCATCTCACCATCTTTAAAATATGCAAAGATCTGGGAAAGAGGTGAGGTGATTCTGATATCGTCATCTGAAAAAGAGAGACCCTGGAATCTGAAGGGTCTGCTGCTACCTCTGGTTTTCACCGCTATGTGGTGTTGGGTCTGCATCGTCACTCTGATCTATTGTGGGTCTGAGTCCCTACAGAGTTCACCTTGAATCTTTATGGGAAGATGATCCTGCTCCCTCAAGAGTAGTTTTGATACAAAATGTTGTGGGTTCCCAGAATCACAGCTCTAAGTGTCAGCCTTTCCCTGAGCAGCCATCCCTGCAAACACCAGCCTCACTTCCCTGTACTGTCACAGTAATTCAAACCACCACCACTGTGGACACAGAGCTACTGTCTCCTTTCCTTCTCTGGGGTCCACTAATTCTTTCCTCCCTAAGATCAAGCAACTTTCCCCCATTAACCCCTGAAATGCAAAGGGCCTCACTATACACTCTGGGTAGACAACAGGGCTTACCCAAACACCATCTATGTATGCTACCAGGATTGCCTCTAGAGGACCCATTAGCTTTCAAAACACAAGAAGCCCACATCTGCAATACTGTCAACAATAAAAAATTTAAATTAAAAAAAATAATTTTTAAAATAAAGAATACACACCAACACAAAACACAAGAGACCTGATTTTAAGTTTTTGCCAGCAACCTCCTTGGCTGCATACCCTGATGATTTAGGGGTAGGAAGTTGTTCTTCTACAGGGAAGAACCAACATAAGCATGATAGCAATGATTTAACCTCCTTAGAATGATAATGAATCTTTGTCACCTCTTTTACTAAAGCAGAAAAATAAACCAAGTTCAATCAAAAGTGAGATATCTTAGACTGGTGCAGCCACTGTGGAAAACAGTATGGAGTTTCCTCAGAAAGTTAAAAATGGAGCTCCCATTTGACCCAGTAATCCCACTTCTAGGACTATAGCCCAAGAAATCAGAAACACCAATCAGAAAGGACATATATACCCCTTTGTTCATAGCAACACAATTTACAATAGCTAAGATTTGGAAACAGCCTAAGTGCCCATCATCAGATGAATGGATTAAAAAACTATAGTACATTTACACAATGGAATACCATGCTGTATAAAAGAGAAGGAATTTTTACCATTTCAACAGCATGGATGGACCTGGAGAGCATTATGCTAAGCAAAATAAGTCAGTCGGAGAAAGATAATTATCACATGGTCTCACTCATTTGTGGAATAACAACATAAACTGATGAACAAAAATAGATCCAGAAACAAAGAAATACTGAACAGACCTTCACACCTCAGAAGGAAGGCAGGGTTGGGGGGTGGTGGGGGTAAGAGATCAACCAAAGGATTTATATGCATGCATATTAGCATAACCAATGGACACTGACACTGGGGTGGTGGGGGTTTGTCCTGGGGGGTGGGAGTGGAGGGAAGGGGTCAATGGGGGAAAAAGGAGGCATATGTAATACTTTAAACAATTTTTTAAAAGTGAGATATCTTGCTGGACTAAGAACTATAGCACCCCCCCCACACACACACACACACAAGTAATAACTTAGTATGATATTTGCAAACATTTTGTGTTCCTGCAAATCGTTAATCTCAACAACTTGCATTATTACTACTTGCTCCATAAAGTTTGTGCAAATGAGAAAATAGGAAAGACAGAATGGAAAATTAACATACATCCAGGGTGGGGCAAAAGTATGTTCACAGTTGTGAGTATGCAAAACAGAGTTTATTCCTGTCTTATTATTTATTTATTATTGTATTATTTTCATACAAATAACTGTAAACCTCCTTTTGCCCCACCCTGTATGGAAATTTGCTGGACATTCAGTAGATTACTGTTTATTCTCTCATATACATCTATACCATTTATTTGAAGCTTCAAAACAACCTAGCTGATAAAGTATGTATACACTTTTGAGGACACCCTGTATGTTAAATTTATCTTGCAGATGAAAGAACTAAGGTTCAAAGAGGTTGAAAAAACTCAATATCAAATAGAAAATTGTGAAGCCAGAATTTGGATTGTCAACTTCTTTTCCACTCCATATTCTGATGCTTACAAAGGAAAAGACAAGCAGCAGCTTGGTTTTCTAACTTCTAAAATGGGAATCTCATACTATTTGAAGAAAAAAAATCAAATAATTTTTTCCTTAAGTCTGCTTCAGAACAATTTCATTCACTCTGTGTTACATTCCACAGTATCATTTGAGGAGACTATTGAGTGCCGATTTGTCCCCTCCAGAACCTCTGGAGAAAATGTTGCCCCTGTCTGTGTAATTAGAGCACTGTGGAAATCCCAAGACCAGCTAGAGAGAGATTTGTGCAGGAGAACAGGCATCATGTTAACAAACACAACTCTAGGGAGTAACCCCAGAGGCGATCAGTGGGAAACACAGCCAGGAGGTAAGGACACACCTGGACAAAGAAATGATTTGGTGAGAGGGAAAATAAAATAAAGAGGATTCAAAGACATAATAATTTATTTGGACTTGATAGAGCTTCATGATATGGTTGTGTGAGTCTGAAAAGAGAAGGCCGTCCTGGTACCAGAGGGAACATCTGTCCTGGAAGAAAAACTTGCTGCACTGTCCAGGATTCTGCCTGTCCTCACCCTTCTTCCTCCTCCAGCATCCAACTCAGCTGCTTCAAGTAGAGAAAAAACACAGACGGCAATAGTAGGAAGTCCTAAAGGCATTATCACAGTCCTGGCCTCCTTTGCTTTTCAAAGTCCCCTCCCATTTCATTTGATTCAGAATGCCCCCATCTTGAAAAAAAAAAAAGAAAAGAAAAAAGAAAGAAAGAAAAAAAAGAAAAGAAAGAAACTAAAATACAGAGAAGGTGAGTGAGTTATCTATGTGACTGGCATCACTGGATTTCAGCACTAGAAATAGCTCCCCTAATATTCAGCTCTGTATTCCTACTGGACAAATGAAGAGAGAAGAGTGTAGAGGAAACTCCCCTATTCAGAGCATTTTTTGTTTTATCCTCTCACCCTTGCTGTGTGACACAAACAAACACACACACACACACACACACACACACTCATGCCCAAACATACATACACCATTATACACATACTTAAAGCAATGGTTCCATGAAGAGAAATAAGAGTTGCTGGGCAGATTGAGCAAGGCAGGGAATATCTTGCATTGAGATTGTAGTGAAGAAGATTCACAATGGAACTGGTTTGGCTCACTGAGGTCTGTTTGTATTGTGGAAAAACTCAGTCTTCTTTTAGACTTTGTTAGGCAGTGGACAGAAAAGGGGGAAATTCTGTCCGCTAACACCTTGGTCAATTAAAGAATGAGAAAAAAAGTAACTGAAACTCTTCTGAAATTAGTCTGTGAGAAGAGCTGGAGTCTTTGTTATTATCCCTCTAATATTATCTTTTTATAACAACAGAATAGTGTCATGGTATTGGGACCTCGGTTAGAGGCATCATTTTTTTGTGTCTACTTCATACTCAAGGCATACTCAGGTCTGATTTTCAATGTGGCTTCTCAACAATTGGTAAAAGGGTGATGTTTCTTCAAGATAAACTTTGGATCTTTTTCCAGTACCTCCCTTAAATCTAGCCCTTCCTTCCCTCCTCTCTCGCTCCCTCCCTCCCTTCCTTCCTTACTTCTTTGCTTCCAAGTATCAGATATTTGATTGGATTGAAGTATGTCAACCTAACTGGCAAAGTAACTCTATTTTGACAGCCTACCAATTGTTGTTTTGGCAAAAAAACAAAGCAAAACAAAACCTTCCTCCAATGCACAGCAATATCCTGGGAGACAAAAAGGTTTTTGAGAAAAGTTTAATAGAGAAATAGGAAAGGTTACAAGAGTCTAGTCTAAACATTAATGAAGATTTATTATTTATGTGTCTGTTACTTACGAATTACAATCTACATATTCAGCCTTAGCTATTGAGAAGAGAACAAGTAAATGTAAGCAAACAGGGCTTTGGGCTATAAAATCAAAAATCATTTCGCAATTCTCACTCACTAGGAATGTTCATTTCCCACCTAGAAAAGAGACCAGCATAAAAATTCCTCAGTCCTCCCTCAGTCAGCTCTAAACCTCATAAATAATGGTGACTATATCTATGCCACACTGGGTTGTTCTACTCCCTTTCCTCCTGGGAGGCCAAACATTTCACCTACACCAGCGTTTATCCCTGTGGAGACTGGAAGATAGGACCACAATAAGCAGCCACTTGGTAGGCCCTCCAATCCCTTCTCTCTGTTCTGGATGCCACCTCAGCCAGAATCAGGACATCCTGCTAGGACATCCTTTCCATCCACAAGGAGCCTCGTTTAAATGTAAATCAAAACCAAAACACTTCTTCCAAATTGAAATGCTTACAATTCAGTCCAAAGTTATCCTATTGTCACAAAGAAGAAAGCATTATTTTCAAGTCGGTGAGTTCAGACACTGTTACAAGTGGAACTATTGAAGAGAAATTAACATTTTAATACCATTTTAAATTTTTGCCTCTATTCTGTTTCAGGTTCTCATATGGTTTCAGGCAAGAGTCATGTGCAGAATCCTCTGTGCTCAGCACAGAAACTCAAATGATTTTATTTAACTTTAGTGCTGTTGGACATTCTCTAAGAATTTGGTGTTTCTCCTATATCTGAGAAATAAGCTCATGAAAGTCTCACTTTTGAGAGCCCTGAAAAGTTATGAAAAACAGTCTTCTTTTATATATGTTTTTATAAGTGACTCTGGCTGACACACTTTCCTAAATCACATCTGTCTGCTGTTTCCCCAGGACTTGCCCAAACAGTGAGAGAGGGACACATCCCCTATCCTTTACAGTAGAGAAAGGCTTGCCATTTGCAAGTTAAATCACAACAAAAACAAAAACCTGAATGCAACACACACTGGACCTTGTATATTTCAAGAAAAAGTGCATTGGACCAGGTTGATGTTCGGAAGTTAAGTTGGAGAGTCGGGCTTTAGAATGTTTTTCATTTATATAAGGAAATAATGAGCCCAATTATCCTGGAAGGGGGAGAGACTGCAAGGCCATTGAGAGGACCTGCGAGGATGTGGAAGTTGGTCACATGTACCCCTGCATCACTAATAGGCTGCTATAGCCCATTTCCTCCCAATGGGCATCTCCATGACTGGTGAAAAGGGGGGAAATGCCCATACTACCAGTTCTTAACATTAAAGAGGAGACATAGATTATTCAGGGAGTTTGAACTTTCATACCTTGGGGTTCGCTCAACAAGCAACATGAAATCTGGAAGTTGGGCTCATGAGTATTCTAAAGTTCTGTGTAGCTTTTAAATTTAGTTTTATAAAACAAAACCAAAAAAAATCTCCTTAAAAAATGCAGACGTATATTTGAGGAAGAAGGAGTCAGGACACCCCTTAAATATCACTAGTTTTTCCCCAATATCCATACTAATCTTTTTTCCTGAATTTTGCTGGGCACATGGTTACCCACCTGAAGATTAACTTTCCCAGCCTTCTAAGGTTAGCCCATTGGCCTAGTTCAATACAATGGGTTGTAAGAAGTAATCTGATGTAGTCCCATTTGTTCATTTTCTCTTTAGTTTCAAGTGCCCTAGGAGCTGTATCAGTGAAGAAATTGCTTCGGCATATGTCTGAGATTTTGTTGCCTTTGGATTCCTCTAGAATTTTTATGGTTTCCTGTCGTACATTTAAGTCCTTTATCCATTTTGAGTTTATTCTTGTGTATGGTGTAAGTTGGTGGTCTAGTTTCATTTTCTTGCATATATCTGTCCAATTTTCCCAACACCACTTATTGAAGAGACTATCTTGGCTCCATTGAATGTTCTTTCCTCCTTTGTCAAATATTAATTGAGCATATTGGTTTGGGCCGATTTCTGGGTTCTCTATTCTATTCCATTGATCTATATGCCTGTTCTTGTGCCAGTACCAGGCAGTTTTGAGAACAGTGGCTTTGTAATACAGCTTGATATCTGGCATTGAGATCCCACCTACTTTCTTCTTTCTCAGGATTGCTGCAGCTATTCGGGGTCTTTTTTTATTCCAAATGAATTTTTGGAGAGTTCGTTCTAGATCTGTGAAGTATGCCGTTGGTATTTGATGGGAAGT